TTTCACTTCTTCTTTAATAATTTATATAGCATTTTATCAAATTAATCATAGAGCAGTTCAGCTTTTATAGATTTCAAAAGGAAAATGTCTAAAAGAAATTTTAAATTAAACAATAAAAATATGTTTATTATGCATTAGCTTTAGATGACCTCTCCAGTTCATAGTTCAGTATTGGTAGCCCTTCCTATGACTCAGTGCCCATGAAGAAGCTCTAAGCCTTAAAAGGTTGGTGACCCCTGCATTGCAGGGTCTGAATATGCATGCAAATCTAATCAGCCTGTATGAAAAGAAATTATGATAACCCTTTTTCTGTTTTGCATTCAATCATCCTATTTTTGTTTCATTCCTAAAGTGCCAAAATTGTCAAGTGGCAAAAATAACCTGCACCTTTCGCTTTCAATACTAATAAAGATTCTGTATTTGTAAACAAAAAATAAATAAAGAGGTGGACAATGGCTTCTTAGTGATCTCGTTTCACCAAGTGACAGATAAGTACGAAAAGTGTTTGCCAGTGTTTATTGCTTGGACATAGTAAAATAAATCTGACCAAAAGATTGAACAATGACATTATTCTTACTACAACTTCCAGCTATGATAATGTATGGCTGATATTTACACAAAGAGTATATAGCTGAAGTATTGTTTCTGATGCATTTTTAGGACACATTTTTTTTTAATTGTCATGATCCTACCCTTTGTGGACTTTTTGGTTCTGTTTGAGTTTCTTTTGAAGTTTTCATTTGCATTTTCATTAAAGTCATTCAGTGTTTTCTTGATTATTGTTTCTTTTCCAATTTTTTGGTATTGCAGTGGTTTTCTAGTTGTAGTATTTAAGCAGTGTTGTGTTTTTTTTGTGTTGCTTTCTGTTGTCCTCTTATATCAGTCTTCTTCCCCTGGCTCCCTTCTAGATTCTTCTATGCACACCTGACGTCCCCTGTTTTTTTGGTTTTCTGTATTTTGTGTTTGGAACTTGCTTCTGTTGCCTCAAATTCTACATTAGATCTGCAAGAAACCACCTCAACATCCGTCTCTGCATTTGGGTCCCCTAGAAACCTCCACACAACCTGACATTATTAGAGACTCACAAAGCGCAATGGTCGCATATAAGAAAATGTTATAGA